AAACAAATTACAACTTCAAAAACTACCCTTTTTCATAAAATGAGATACTGGATATACAGGAATGCAATAGCAATGTCATTTGCTTTTCATAGACCTTTGGATTTTACTTTAATTCTAGGCTCTTCCCATTCTTTTTTGGTACATGGTCTAAGAATCAATTATGCTAAACATAATCATGCAGCCAGTGATTTGGCAGCATGCCAAGTAACTTCAAGGCCTTTCCTAAAGAAAACTTGAAGCTTCTCTATTCTCCTTCATATGACCTACGGAAGTAAATTGTGTACACAATGAATTTGTCTTTTAAAGAAATAAATTTAAACCCTGAAGTCTTGAGTATTCTCAATGAAATTCAGGGAATACAGAAAGGCTGACTCTTGTGGCTTATGCTGGTTTGCTTTTATGTTTCTGTGTGTTGATCAAGAACTAAACTTGTATAAATAGGAGAAAATGAAAAATCACATATGGATTTTCCCATGGTAGGTTATATGGTAATCTGCAGCAGCAACTATTGTATCCATGTGCATGTACTTCTGAAATGCACGCTGGGAACTTCTCAACTACTCCAAAAAATGCATCATCACATACTACAGCTTCGAGTTCAGGCCGTTTGTCAACATTTTTGGTTGGCCTTTTCAGCTTGTATCATTATAAAAAGTTGTAGTATGGTACTTTTTACTTGTTGACAATAATATTTGATTTTATGAAGCAATAGATGTATTCATATAGTATCCTTTTTAAAACTCCAAAATGTTTTCATTTTACCATGATTAGAAGTAAGTCACAAACCCATAATGACAGTGGATTTTGTTCCTCAGCATTATTAGAGTTATATAAAGGATTATATTTCTAAATTCTCATCTACTGGATGCAATAGAAAAGGTAAGTGAAGTGTTTCCCAGGAATTACTGGTTTCATGTCAAAAAACATCTGCTTCAGCCAGGTGTTGTTGGCTCACGTATGTAATCATAACTACTCAGGCTACTGAGATCTGAAGATCATAATTTGAAGCCAGCCTGTGTAGATAAATCTAAGAGACCCTTATCTCCAATCAACCAGCAAAAAGCCAGAAGTAGAATAGCTCAAATGGTAGAGTATCAGCCTTTGAGTAGAAAAATCTAAGAAAGGCTGAGGTTAAGTCCCAGTACTATCCCTCCTCCCCTCTCTCCCTACCACCCCAGAAATATCGGTTTTTTTGGGGGGGGAGAGAGATTATTTCTCACTGGAGAAGAAGAAAATGCTCTGTGAGAGAAATAGCTCAGATTTCAGGGAGATTTGCCAGTTGCCTAATGAATCGATAATGTGGACATTAACCATCAAAATAATTTAGAGCATAATGTAATGTGAGTAGATTTATGATTTGTTTCCATGTGTATATTTATTCACTTCATTCATAGAGCAGTTTGATGTACCTGCTAAGAACTGGGAAAAACAGAGCTTGAGCTAGGACCTGTTTTGAATCAGGTATCAGATTCCTGGCCTGCAGCTCTCATTTTCATGGTTACTTATTCACACAGTAATTTTGAGCTCCCAGAGTGCTAGGCATTTTGTTAAGTGTTAGAAATATAACAGTGCACAAAAATAGACAATAAAAATGTAATACAGGCATTTCATTTGAAAAAATCACATAAATGTACAATTATAAATTGCTTAGCTTTAATGGGGAAGAGAGAGAGAGAAAGAGATAGACTCTGAATAGGAATAAGGGCTTAATTTTCTCTTTCAGGAAGTTACTCTGAGGAAGTACAGTTTGAACTTGGACTTAAGATGACCAGCAGTTAATTAGGCAAAATAGAAGAATTGCTTTTCTTTTTCTTAAAGGAAAAGCATGTGTAAAGCGCTTGGGACAAGAAGAGACTTAGTGAATCTTTTTTTTTTCTTTCTAAAAGACCAATGTGATTACTGTAGTCAGCAAAAAGAAGAATGAAATGAAATGTTCATGAGGCAGGCAGGTGCTAGATCATGCAGAGCCTGGATGCTATGTTAATGACCTTGCATTTCATCCTAATGCAAAATCAGTGTGAGATTTGATCTGTGTATATTTTTTTTAACAAATTGCTTTGTCTGGATTCAGCCAGGAGGCCAACAGTGGGCCAATTAGGAGTCTCTGGGAGGTGGGAGATGACAAGGCTTGGCTTAAGGGGTAGAAGTAGAAGTAGAGGGAAGTGAACAGATTTGAGACATATTTTGGAGGTAGAATGAACAGGCTTTGGAAATGAACTGAATGATGGATGTGAAAGAGCATAAGGTAATTAAGGGCAACTCTCAAGATTTTGGTTTGAAGTACATAAAGGAAGATGTAGGTGTCATTTAATGAGTTAGAGAAGTATGGAGAAAGAACTAAGTGGGTGAAATAAAGATATATATTATATATAAGATATATATCATATAATATATATATCATTCATTCATTTATTTGTGATACAGATTGAGCCTAGGACTTCATGCTTGCTAGGTAGGTGTCCCACTACTTGTACCACTTCTTCAACCAAAATCAAGATTTATTTTTTGGTTTCAGTGTATTAATGACAAGGCTTCTAAAGTATATATTTGTGACTCTTTTCTAAAAGGGGAAGGTAATAGAAAAAGGAAAGACGTAGGGGAAAGGAGACATAAAAAATAGAGAATGGATTTACCAAATCTGGGAAAAGGTTGGGTGTGGTTGACACTTAGGGCAATATCAGTATTACTGTGGAAGTGTAATTTTAAACAAACATATTCAATATCACAGTATAATTTTTAAACTTGAAAAATAGAATAGGAAATCATGTAGTCTTCATAATATAGATTACGGACAGGAGACTAGCAGGGACCAAAGCTGGGGGCGAGGGGGGTCTTCCTGTGGTAGATTCGCCCAGCTGCTTACTGGGAAATTTTTAAGGAGCGATGTATCACAATTCCTAGTGGGGTTGGAGATAAACCAAAAGTTATCCAAAAAAGAACATGGGTTTAAAATTTCTCTAACACCGAGCTATAGAAATGGACATGAGTAATAGGATAAAGAGAGAGATAGGGGAGAAAAGGAGAAATGAGTAGAGAAGTTCTACATGGAGCAAAGATGTCCCTACAGTCATGCCAGTGCCAGTGCAAGAGCCGATGTGCCAGATCATTTGTTACCTGGGTTTGAATCCCAGCTCTGCCACTTAGTAGTTGATAATCTGCATAAGTCGATCCACTTCTCAAATATCTCTCATTTTTAAAAACTAAGATCACGCTCACATTTATCAGGAAAAAATTAATAGGAAGTACTTTAACATTTAGGGTGCAAGTGGCTCATGTCTGTAACTCTAGCTACTTAGGAGGTTGAGATTTGATGATCACAGTTTGAAATTAGTCCAAGAAGAAAAGTCTGTGAGACTCCATCTCCAAAAGCTGGACTGGAGGTGTATAGCTCCAGTGGTAGAGGGCCAGCTAAGCAACCTAGCTGAGAGAGCTTGATTCATGACCCGGTACCATTATACACACAAAAGATGTCCTTAAAGAAAATGCCCAGCGTAAAACAAGATAGCAATAAATGCGAACTGTTCTTCTGTAGCTGACTACAGAAACACAATAATCGGTCACCTTCCTATGGCTGTGTTAACATAGGCTTTTTAGCTTCAAAATGGTAAAGTTCATTGTGCCAAAAACTAGTTTTCATGAATTGTCAATAATATAGAATTTATTTAATATATTTATAGAATTCTGAAATACTGTTAAGTTGTAAGTAAGTGCAAATATGCTAGCTGATTAAATGGTCAAAATACATTTTTCATTAATTTGTAGAAATATTCGACATAACTTAAAATTCATTGTTTAACCCATCTAGAGAAGCCAGTAATTGACTTGTAAGCATATTATTGACAATACAAAAAATAAGGATGTGACTCTAAGGAAGAACTTTTTGATCTATCCATTTTCACTTTGCATAGTTGTAAAAAAAAAAAAACCTTTATTTTCTGAGCCCTAACAATATAATAAAGACATTCTGAAATCATAGCTCTGTAAGTTTGCTGCTATGTTTACAAATAATGTAATTGTAATCTCTCAATTAGAATAAATTGAAACTACCACCTAGAACTCTAGATCCAATTATTCTTATTCTTTTCTGTTTTTATTTCTGTCTTGCCCTCTCTCTATTTCTCTCTGTCTCTCTTCCTGTTTTTCTTTCTCTATGTCTCTGTGTATCTGTTCTTTTCCTCTGTCTGTCTGTCTGTCTCTCTCTTATTCTGGCTAATATATGAGATAAAGTGTTTATTATTTATTACACATAAGCTTTAAGTTATTAATGCAGAATTATGCCAAGCCTTTATACTGAACAATTTGTTTACCAAATCGTTGCAGAAAACCTTAGAATAGTATAAGGTCAAATCCACATGTACTGTCAAGGTCATAGTGATTCTCTGAATGCCTTAACCTCTCTCAACCTCCCTATCTACATAGGATGGTATTAATTAAACAAGACAACATAGGCAAACACCAACTACAGTACCACAGTGTAAAGTCCATGTTCACTGTGGTTAGATAAAATAAACCAATTATGTAGTTTTGGATAAGCCACTTAATACTTCAAGGAGTCACTTAAATGCTGACATTAATGTTTTAATTAAAAGGTTAAAAGGCAATATTAGTATCCAGAATTTAGGTTATGCCTGGAGGCATAAAAACATTTATTAAATATTATTTAAAATGTTCAATAAATGTTCTTTTTCATCCCTTTGTAGGAGGGAAATTATCAACTCCAAAATTAATTGTCCTGGAACAATATAATTAACACCTTATGAACAGGTGTGAGCATCAAGAACATGTGAAGTGCCACGTGATCACATCTAAGTGCTCTGCGATCACACAGGCACAAAAGGCCATGTTCTTCATTTCTCCTACTGCACCATGGTAACAGAACATCTGTCCACCTCACGGCAGATGTTGAGTGCAGGTAAAGTGAGCAGAGGCGGATTCTACCCATTCACTCTGGTAGTGACACATGCAATTGGACAGGTGAAGTGACGAAGCGCATGCAGTACCTGGTCATCTCAGAGTCAGGGAGCAGGCCTAGATGGTAGTGGGGATAGGGAGCTGAGAGGAGGAAGCTTTTGTCACACTCAACAGGGGAATAGTGCCTGGGAGAAGCAGGCTTATCACACAGTTTGTTCACAGTGCTGTAAACTGGTTCCGGAGGCCTGGTGATACAAGAGGAAGAGAGAGATGTGTGGTTAGCACACACAGGGAATAACTGTGCAATTTAGTAGCATTTCATCATATGTAAAAATAACAATACAAACCAGTTCTTTTTTTTTTTGTCAGTTGTGGGGTTTGAACTCTGGGCCTGGGCGCTGTCCCTGAGCTCTTCAGCTCAAGGAAAGCATGCTACCACTTGAGCCACAGTGCCACTTCCAGTTTTCGGGTGGTTTATTGGAGATAAGAGTCTTACAGACTTTTCCTGCGGGGGCTGGTTTTGAACCACGATCCTCAGATCTCAGCCTCCTGAGTAACTAGGATTATAGGCCACCCGGCTTACAAACCATTTCTATGTGCTGCTTACTTCTCATTAACAGGACTTAAATTTTCCTAAAGACTTTATCCATACTCCTTGTGGGTAAATGTAGTTCAATAAAATGTTCAGTCCGATGTGATCTCAGCAGGCTTTGTGAGACTTGTGGAATAGTAGTGGCTGACAGCGATGGCCATTTAGCTAGGACACTTTTAATACATTCTCTTCTCCTTTTCCCCCACCCCTGCTCATCCAAACCCGAGATGTGGCAGTTGGGACTTTGCTGGTTATCCTGGTCCATGAAAAAATCTTGAAGATGAAGGCAAACAACAGATTGTAGTATGGAGGATGAGGAGTCTGTGTTACTGACAATATATGGACCTACACTCTATTGATTCTATATTGTTTACCTCCTTTTTTATGTGGAATAAAAACGATGCCACTTATGTATGCTAGTGTCACTTTTTTATATAGACAGAATCTAATATGAATAGATCTACTCCTACATTATTGAAAGCTATAAATTTAATACCACAAATGACTTGCAAGGCACACTGGTATCTCACACCTGTAGTCCTAGTTACTCAGGGGGCTGAGATCTAGAGGGTTTTTTTCAAAGCCATCCTGGGCAGAAAAGTTCACTAAACACCAACACCCAATTAACCAGCAAAAAGTTGGGCTAGAGGCATGGCTCAAGTGATAAAACACCAGTGAAAACAAACTACGCATGGGTGAGACCCTGAGTTCAACTCTTAATATGGGCACAAAACAAAAGAAAATAGAGAGAGAGTAAATAGGATCTATCTCAAGGACTAATACATTTCATGACATTTTTAGCCATTTAACCCTGGCTTTCTGGAGGGAAATATACAGACATTCTTTTGTTTTCATGTAATTCAGAGCCCATTACTCTTTTGAGGACTCATTTTATTTTTAAAATGTTATGCACAGAATAGTAGCTCATCTTAACCTTAGGAGAAAGGAACTGATGACTTGTTTGGGTCACTAAAGCAATTCCATGATGATGTCATTCCAGTACTTTCTTTTTTTTTTTATTGTGAAAATACCGTATACTTTCTGCCTGATCAGGCTGGCTCAACATTCTCAGACTGATGCTAACTCTACAGACCAAACAAAATGATGTTATCAATTATTGCCTAGTCTGTGTGCCTCTGTAGCACCAAAATTCAGAAGCAAAGCTGACTAATGCATGTCTTAAACAAGTTTCTAACTATATTCAGCTCAACAAAAGGAAAATGGTGATTTTCTGGTTAGCATAGTATTTAAAATACTATACTAAGAGGTCTGTACTTTGCCCAGGGTTCAGCTCTTGGAACTATTACCTGTATCTTTTCTGAAAGCACTTTATGAGTGTATATGATTATGATTTCTGTAGGTAGTGGATTTGGAGTTTGGGGAAAGCTTGAACTTAGGGTATCCATATTGTTCTGTTTATAGTCACTTCTAGAATTTTTTACCTTGTGGATTGATTATATGTCTCTGCTTAGTAAATTATCATTCAAAATCTTATCAATTCAGAGGTACTGTTAACTGCTACCACAGGCTCCCTTTCACCTGTTATTTAGACTTTCATCCATTCATTTCCTATTTACTTATTATTGTGTTTGGTCAATTGCTATACCAGATACAGGACCTTTCCTCAATTTTGAGAACATAAAACCTCTCAATATGGCTTGATAAAAAATATCAAAACAATAACACATTTGACAAAGTCTTCTAACTAAATAACAAAAATATCTATGAGAATATACTATACTCATGTCACATAAAAAAGAATACATAGAAACGGTGCATAGTAGGAACTTACTAAATGTTTCTTTGAATGCATATTTTAACCATTCTTTATTAAGAAAAGTAAAAAAAAAATTCTTCCAGATTTTCAAGAAAGCCATAAGTTATTCTGAGTTTCTTAATTAGGTTTAAGATTTCCAGGCCATCATTAATTTTACAGATTTTATGGAAGGACTGAAGTCCCAATATTGTCAGTGAGATTTGAAAGGCCTTAATACTTGATGCACAGAGTTCATCCACCTCAGGGGATGGCTCCATGTTTTTGAGTCTGTCAATCATGTTGGCTCACAGTTCTAGTCATGCTCATCTGTAAGTTCCTGAGGGCTTAATCATGGCAGTAAGCATCCTAGTCCCTCCCTGAAGTCACGTTCTCTGTGAACTCTGCAGACAGATTAAAAAATGCTAATCATTGTAGCAGGGAGCTGGACAGCAGGAACAGATGCCTCTATCATTTCCTATTTGGTCAGTAAAGAAATTTTAAAAAAGTGATTGGAAAATAACTCCTCAGTAGGAAGGGCCAGTCACAATAGAATGACCTCTCTGATTATAAGCACCCAGAGTCAGAGGTCATGAATATGAAAATCTAAGCAAGGTACCTACTGGTGATCTTTATTCTGTGGGTATGTCCTGAAAGGAGGTGTGGGTAGTTGAAGAAGTGAAATCTTTAAGTGAGTTTATAAGCAAATCATTTATCTTGCCACACTACTCAGGGGCCATAGATAAATGCCTTTTTAGTGGTCTATCAGCTGAGCCATCAGCATATATTTGCATATCTATGGTCTTATAATTGCAGGCTCTAGTAGCATATAATTAACACAACCCTGGCCCTTGGTGATCTTTTTCTCTGAACTCCATTAGCACTTGCTATTTGTTCTGCTTCCTTTGCATTTGTCATAGCGAATTCACAATTCTGGTGCATTGGAGAGGGGTACTTCATCTACATCCTACTCTGAAATTCTACCTTGCCTGTAACTACCTCTTTCCTTTTGTCCCACTTGACTCCAATCCAACTCAATCCCCTCCAGAGCCAGAGCAGTGACCAAGATGAAACCCTTTACCCTGCAGCTGTGATCCAAAGAAAACAAACAGCCCAAACAAGCCTACAAACAAAAACCCCACAAAACTCAAACTAAGCCAATTGGATTCTTCTAAGGTATTTGAATAATGTGAATAAAAGGACACAAAAAACAATAAGCACCTGGTTGCATAAATTAAAGCAGGTCACATAGATGGTCACTGCAGATATATTCATTGAAGCTTTACTACGTTTGGCAAAGCTCTACCAAGTTTTGTTGCCAAAAGGTCTAGAGATTCCTAAAATCTAAACAGCCATCTGGATTCCTGCTCTAGGGTAGCTTATGAGAGCCCTGGCTATTAAATTCCTCTCATTGTTCCTATGTAATAATAGTTATATACTAAAAAGCAACTGGATTTTAGGGCAGATATCTTGGTTGATATTCAGAGTGAAAGTAAAATAGACACCTCATTTATGCACTTTATGTTCTTTGCAAATCACTGAAACTAGACTATGCCACTCAAAGAAACCATGAAAACATTTGACCACTGCACTATCACACAGAATCCATACCTGAAATATCCATCAGAAATGTGTTAATTGTTCATTATTGATCCTTTTGCATGAATTATATTACCTTGCATTAAAATATTATCATCTTAATTATGTCCCTTTCACAATTTACATCTGCTATGAATGCTTTCTAGTCCCATTCTACTAGCAGAGACAATAAAGGTTTAAGACAGGAGAATGATGACTGTGACTCTAAATACTCTTCATCTATGTAGCACCTGAAGGAATGAGATGAAAAAAATATAAGTCCCTTATCTTCGAGGTAACAGTAAAATTGACTCATACTTTATTGAGTTTTCCAGCTCCACCCTCAAGCTGTCTCAAGCAGGGACCTCAACTTATTGAACTGTCATAGTTCATTCACACAGCTCTCTTTCTCTAGAGATAGTATTAACTTGTAGGGGATCACGATCAAATCCCATTTATCTTTGTTTCCCCATTGCTTTCCCTAATGCCAGGATATATGAATAAAGCAGGGTCATAGAAAACTGAGAAAAGAGGTGATAGAAAAAGTGATCATTACTTTTTATTCTTTCATCTTCAGCCAGAACTAAAAATAGGAAAAGATTTGGGTTATATGCTTGTGTGTCTTTCAGCATAAATAACTCTTAGATAGACTAACATGGAAAACTCTGCAGATAAGTCAGATTCTCCAACCCTCATCTTGCTCTGGCCTTGGTGGAAGGGAACTTTAGCTCCCATGTCCTGCGTTTACCTGACATAGACACACACTAAAGCAGGCATGGCAGCTGGAATGCAGTGTGCTCCAGTAAACTGTCTCAATGGCAATGGAGGAAAAAAAATTTTAAAGATGTTTTATGTTCCCATTTGCAAATAATACAAAGTTTACTGGTCCACAGATTTTTTTTTTAATGCTAGTCTTGGGGTTTGAACATAGGACCTGGACACTGTCTCTGAGCTTAGCTTTTTTTTTTTTTTTTGGTGTGGTCGTGGGGCCTGAACTCTGGGCCTGGGTGCTGTCCCTCAGCTCTTCAGCTCAAGGCTAGTGCTCTACCACTTGAGCCACAGCGCCACTTCCGGCTTTTTTTCTTTTTGCTTATGTGGTGCTGAGGAATCGAACCCAGGGCCTCATGCATGCAAGGCAAGCGCTCTACCACTGAGCCACCTTCCCAGCCCTGGCCACCTTCCCAGCCCTGAGCTTAGCTTTTTTGAGCTATAGATCCACTTGTAGCCTTTTGATGGTTAATTAGAGGTAAGAATCTCATAGACTTTCCTGACTGGTCTGGCTTTAAGCTATGATAATCAGATCTCAGCCTTCTGAGTAGCTA